TACGAGTCGTTTACAACCCAGAACCCGATTGCGTAGGTGGCAATCTGTCCAGGATTGATTAGAACAACTAATAAGTTATTAAATATTAGCAATTAATCACATTATATCGTTTGTCAAGTATCGTGCATTTGTCAGTGACTAACTGATATCGTCGATGGTCGTGAATGTTTTATTTATTTAATTATACTTCATTGTTACATCTTAGGCTAAAGGCTATAATGGTCGGACTTAATGCCTAATGGCATTCTTTACGAGTCATCCCTTGTCCCCAATTTCGTAGACAATTAAATGCTCACAAAAATAACTTTTATGCGTTATAGCTCAGTGCAACGACCAACCTGAGTTCAAATCCCGGAACCAATGAATCACATCCACATCCTCAGCGCCTTCCTTCGCCATCGTAAGGAAACATATCGATATAATAACAAATAAAAATATTTCTATGAATGTAAAGTTTGCCGATCCGCAGGGGTCACGTGGTGGGCTATGCCATAATACCTTCTATACAAAGATGGTTATATACGTATATAGGTTGTTACTTAACCGTTACAGTTACTTTCATCACATCGTTTTATTGCATTATATTTAAAATATTCACAGCTGTTACATACAGTTCTGCCCTTTCGTCTGGGCATTCATATCTAAGAACTATCATCTCGAAAGAATCGATATTAGAAATAATTAAGAATAGATTACGAAATGAGTTCTTTCCAGATGATTCAAATGAGATGGATTTCAAATTGTTCAGCAACTACAAGATTATTTACCGACGCTCAGATGTTTATATATAACTAGCTGTGCCCGGGACTTTGTCCGGGTGGAATTTAAAATAAAAAAAAATCTAAAATAAAAGCCTAAGTTACTCCTTACTACATTAGCTATCTGTCAGTGAAAGTCCCGTCCAAATCGGTCCAGCCATTTCAGAGATTAGCCGGAACAAATAGACACACAAATAGACAAAAATTGTCAAAAATGTACCGTGTAGACATCCATATGCCTTTAGTTAAAAGCGGTTATTTTAATATTACAAGAAGACACTCCAATTTTATTTATCTGTATAGATTAGCTTAGTAATTAGTCAGAGAGAATTTTGGAATAGAAGTTTAACATAAAAATAAAGATTTACTTAATTATATATTCTAAGAATAAACGTGCTGCTTAACCTTTTAAAACATAGCGCTAACTATGACATCAAAATAAGAAATTGGCTGTTTTCATACAAGCTTTCGTCCTATTCAAACAACGTTGAATAAAAAAAACCTTTCTTAGAGCGTACTTACGATGACAAAAGGGACCGAATGACAATATTTTTAGTTTCTATACTTCATGTATTATTGTGAAAAACATATCCAAAACCGGTTACAGCATGATTCGCATGTTGTACCGACCCCACCTAGGGATAGGCTAGGATAAGAGCAAGAGCATGATAATGACGATGATGAAATAATTGACGCTTATAATAAAGGTCCGGAAAATTTCCAATGTCCTTGAGACTTAGCAAATGGATTAACAAGTAGTACCTATAGTAAGAAGATTTATAAGGTGCCCTTCTTTATATGCAGCTGTCTAATTTAGACGACTTGTTGTAACAGCGCGCTGATAAAACAAGGCAGCCGTTAATCCCGACTCTGGAACGCTCGCCAAAATACCAGTTTAAATGTTAAACGGCTGTGTAAATAACACTAAAGTCTGGTGTACATCATCAAGCGCCTTTTTACGAGGCGATTCATTAAGCGAACTAACTTGCTACTAAGACCTAATTAGCATCGGACATCTAAGAGGTGCGCGTGGGCGCTAGACGACACGGGAGTTGCTGTTAACAAATTTATGGAGATAACGCAAGTAAAAAGCCCTCGCGTTGGACGAAGACAGCCGGATAAATTGAAACGGACACGTTGTAATTGTCGCCGCAAATGTTTCTTGTTTCCCCATTTGAATTTTATTTTTAGTTTTTAGAGCTATTCGCACGCGAGATGGAAATCAAAGATGTGCAGATAAGACTATCAAACAAAACTTTTTAAATCTAACAGGAACCAGCGCCTACCAGAAATTTCAAGGGCAAGTGACATCTCTAGTTTTAGATTAAAAAGTATTAAATAAGTACTTATTAATTTAAATATGCATTGTCAAATTTCATTTCTGCAATTATTTATGCTGCATTGGAAACATACTTTCTCAAAATTTTAATTCAACATTAGATAACGCAAAGCATTGCTAAAAATCTAATAAAACTAAGTTGATAAGACGTCGAGATTTACAAGCGGTGAGGCGCCTAGCTTGATGGTTAAAGCGTCTCGGCGCATAATCCGGAAGGCGAAGGTTCGATTCCCGTCAGCGGCGAAAAATGTTATTCATTTACAGTTAAAACATAGGAAGCTAGATATACATTAAAGGATGGAGGATTTTTTTAAGTCTTCCTGTAAATATAGTTACAATAAATATATTTCATATAAAAAAGGCAATCAGTTCACTAATTTACGATAGTTAATTGGCAAGGAATATTTAATTTGCAAAATGATATCACGAATTCCAGGTGTTATTTTGATCGGATTAAAAGATCTGCAATTGCGGCTTGTAGGTGTTACAGACGGTCGATAATCCTATTTCCCAGCGTAACTCAAAACCTATCACGCCTTTTGTCTCCAGCTTTGCTGTTAAACTCTTGTCGCGGCAAACGTAGGAACTGCCATTAATTAGAATTTATCTATCGCGTACGAATAGCAATACGGCTGCTGCAGCTTTGTTCAGGTAACGTTAGATCTTTACGCCCTGTTGTTACGTAAATTATTGGCATGGCGGGCGGTTACGCGGCCGGATACAATCGCAGTTGAGGAATTTAGATGAATTCCTTCTCGTTTCGAAAGCTGTACAAGTCTCCCTGAGACCATTTTATGCATTCCGAAAATCCTTTATCAATGCTAAACGCGAATAATTGCAACTAAATAAGACTTTGGACAATAATCTAGCAGGAATGTATATGATTATTTAATGGTAGTATTATTTCAAATTTGATTTGTCAGTTTCCAAATATACAACTTCTATGGAACCGGGATTTTTTTCACTTTTTAACTTTGTAATTCGTATTTATATAAACATATACGTTTTACTTTTAATTATTTAATTTTATTATGTTTCAATTATTTTACTTATACTATGTTTATTTAAATGCATACATATATGGTCAATCGTAGGAAACTTGACCTTAAACTGGATTTTTCGCCAAATTTATCAATCTATGTCGTTACGCAAAACGTACGTCGAATATAATCCAAAATCCACAAGATATCGACTCATATTATGGAAGTGATAGAACACCCACCCCGTCGACGACCCGATTGGCGTAGTGTAGTGCACCTGCCTCTTATGCCAAAAGGGTGGGTTCGATCCCCACTACTGGAAAAATATTGTGTGATGAACATGATATTTTTCCAGTGTCTGGATGTATATGTTCATAAAAAATGTATTTATTTACAAAAGAAAAGTATGTTTGTGTGTTTATCAGTCATCTAGTACAAGCGGTGCTCAGTTTGGAATTAGATAATGTTGTGTAAAAATGTATCTAAACCATTTATTAAAAAAAAAAGCATTTCTCTACCGCGGTACTATACGTAGCCCGTGCCAAGTGAGCTACAACAATTCACGTCTCCGCCACTGTCGCCAATCGAACGTCCGATTTCAATTTAGATTAAAGTTTAAGCGTGCACCGTAAAAGCTTATCTCACGAGTACACCTGTTAAAGTCGAAATAATTTACGACGGCCCCTCGGCGTCCCAGTTAGCGTCGCAAACGGATCGCCTTCGGACCGCAAATGTTTCGCAGAATGTGGACGTGGAATTCGCTCGAAGATCGCTCGAAGATCGCTCGAAGATCGCTCGAAGATCGCTTATTACGACGATGCCCCGCTCGTACGACGAATTTACGATTATGGGATGCGTTGAAACGAAATCGATCAGAGTTCGCTCGGGGCGATGAAGGATTACAATAACTCATCATTGGAGAAACGAACTCAGCCTCGCTAAAGACTACGAGAACTTATTTATAAACAGTGAATTACGCAAAATAATTCAAACGAATAGTTTTTAGAATACCCATTTAATTTAAAACATGTAGAAAAAGTACGAAAAGATTGTCGCCGCTGTGGGAATCGAACCCACGTCTTTGGCATTCGCGGCCTGACGCTCTAGCTAAACGGCTGATAGCCACAGCGACGAAAATCTTAACGCCTTCTTTCTACATTGTTATTTAGCATTTGAAGCAATGCTTGGCGCATCTATTTTTATATCCTTTCCAGCATACAAACAATTTTGAATATCGTTTTACAACGATAATTCGAACAAGAGATGTCGCCATTGCTTTTTATGAATGAATGAATGAATGAAAGAATGGTTCGAATTTTTATGATGAATGAAGGAATGATTCGATTCCCGCAGCAGCGACAGTCTTTTCGTACTTTTTCTACATGTTTTAATGTTCAATCTTAAGTGCAGAGATTACCACTATAAAAAACTTTAAAATTTACCCATTTAATTATTAAATAACTTTCCTTTTCAATTTTATATCGTTTCGCTAAATCTATTTTTTGCACAATCTCTACATATTCCGATTAACAATTTATAAGAAATTCGTTTAAGTACAGATATCTATTTACTTGCATAAAAGCGCAAAATTATTTACTTTATTGCTGTTTATGATACAAAGAATATAAACTATTATCCGACCAGAGTTGTTAATGCACCATCTTAATTAAAAAAAAGCGCAAACATTTCTCAACCCATACTTTCAATTCTATAATAGTAATTCGGCGATACTAGTAATCTAAGTTATTTTAGGTTTGGTCTCTTCCTTCCCTTTCACTTTACAATCTAAATACTTTATTAATCGGGCTTAAGTTTTTTTTTATTATTATTCCTAAGTTCTGAACTCACGCATTCGCCACGGGAAGGACGCAGTATTAGGTTGAAAAGTTTGTGATCAAATGCGAAATATACGTAAATCTTTACCTCTGGTAGTTGTGCTGTTGGTTGTGGATGAGGGGCTGAGTGGGCTGTGCCAGAAGCAGCTGTTTCTGTTGTTGCTGCCTTTGCAGCATCTGCTTGCCAAAGACGCCGTAACCGAAGCCGTATATCTCGTCTTCCTCTTTGTCAGTAAGGCAGCTTGAGGGCTGTTGAGGAAAAATCGTTTATTTAAAAAAAAAAGTGAAGTAACAGCCGTTATAAATATCTCACAGCTGGAAAGAGTCCCAGAGGGTATTTGGGCATGGTCCAAAATGGTCTTGTTGTGTCTTCAATTAAATATCTGCAGCGCGCGAGTTTCGTCGACGCGCCTCTAGACCAAGTCATTCTTGCCTACTGTGTGTAAGCCGTAGGATACTATCGATAGTATCATGGAAGGCTTTCGAAAATGTACACAGATGATCCCTATAATATCTTTTTTGACAATGATTGTATTTTACTTTCATGTTATACTAGGAAAAATAATAAACAAACAAATATAAAATATGAGAAAGCAATCAACAATTTTAGAAAATCGAAATTTTGTCACTTTGCACAGACCTCGCGTAGCCTGTTGGTCCGAGCTTCATACACAATGGTAAACTATTGCTGTAGTCCCAAGTTCAAACCACTCATCGAGTGGAGTTGTATTTTTTATATTATTTTCACTTTTAATTTGTTAGCCAACTAATTATTTTGTTTTAATTTTATTAAATGGCTCAATTTGGGAAATAAACAAATTATAAAAAAAAAATATAAAATAATTATTTTTCGTGTATAAGATACATTTTTGTTTTAGGGTGAACAATTAAATAAATTAATAAAAAATAGATGACGTTAAAAATTTTTAATACTAAAACTTGGTTTATTTACTGATAGATTGTTCTCCAACTGTTTCAACTTTAAACAAATGCAATAATATTTCGTTGTAATTATTTATGAAAATCATAGAATCAACAATAATTAAATTGTTATTAAGAAATACTTCCAAGTAAGAAAGTCAACAATAAGTACAACAAAAAATTTAGGGATTTGAACCCAATCCATACCACTACGTATAGGACAGATAGACCAATCAATCACGAGATAAGACATTGAAATTATGCTTTAAATAAATTAATTAACAACTGTTAATACATATAAATAATTTATAAATACGAAATATGTGAATATATATTTTTTAGTTTCGTGTTTTCGAAGGTCTGATAAAATTAAAACTCCCAATAATAAATAAATACGAAACATATTTTGTAACGGTGAGCGGGCGATGAGCGGAATAAGTCCATCTAGCAAGGCGCCTCAGCGCTCTCTGTTCAACGTGTGGAGTTGGAAGAGAGCCGAAACAACGCCGCGGTGGCGCGGTGTTTTGGCCATCGCGTTCGAATTAATTTTAATGAATTAAATTAATATTTACAAATATCTTACTTCAATCAACAAATTAAGACAACAGTCCTTTTTATTAATATATTCTACACCACTGATATTAATTTCATTAAGATTTGTTGATGTATTACGTTCGTTTTTGGATTTGAATTTCTCTTTTAGAGGTAGATTTGTGATTTTTTTCTATCGAGAAAATATATCGAGAATATGTTTTGAAAACAATGGTACATTGTTTTCAAAACATATCCAGAATGTAAGATCAAGATTAACATATATTTTTTTGCTTCTATAAAATGTATAGATTTTGTTAAAAAGTTTTTTGAAAAACATATTTTTACTGCATACAGCGCCTTAACATGAAAGACAGAACAGTAATATAATAGGAATCGAATATTTTGTAACGGATTCAAAATTTATTATCGTCGTATTATTATTTATTACAAAAGTTTAGATTTTAATGTGCCATAATCATTTCGTGGTGTTAAAATATTAACAGTTCCGTTCGATATGTTACATAACGTATCTCATTAACTTATCCCATACGCCTCATTTCAATAGACCGCAGCATAAAAATAAAGGTCGTTTAGAGTGCTTCCAGGCAAACTGCCAAATGCAACGCGTCACAACAAGTATAAATATAAGAGGAGTCCAGTAGAAATATTTTGACGACTAATAATTATTTAATAATGATTTTATTAATGTGCACATTGAGTAATAATTGGGAATAAGTTATTTTGAAAAAAATGCAGAATACCTTAAATATATTACACTCGGAATGTTCATTACAGTAGCATTTGCAGGTAACATTATGATAGTAATGTTAGTAGAGTTATCCCAATTTATTTAATAACTATCCCGGACTATAATGTTTCTATTACTGCAATTATTAGTAAGTGATAACTACCATAATAAACATTTACCACAGCTTAGGTGCTGCAGTGTCGTCGGTCCCCGTCTGGCGATTAATTTCCCCGCAACATTACACAATTGCAGATTTGTTGTAGTACATTACTTGCTTCAAGTGAAATTGAGCAATAAACATAAATCGCACAAATAAATTAAGCTCATAACAAGCGAAACATTACTCATGGTAATTTACAATTAAGTTTACGCGGTCCGACTAACGGTAATGACTACTTTGGACGGAACGATGCCCGTTATTGTTATGTATTCGCTATTGGTTAGGTAAATACATTTCAATCGTATTATGCGCCTGAATTATTCTAATTTAGAAGCCATCTGATATACTAAATGTGTTATTGGCATCAATTAATTTCCGTTGATGTACCGTTTTTCTGATAAAGAAATAGTTGTAGACACGGAATTATACATAGCTATCAAATTTAGATGGATTAGGCTTTTTGAATAAAGTATCAGTATAGTATCAGCCTATACATGTCCCACTGCTGGGCAAAGGCCTCCTCTCTACAGAAGCTATCAGGGCATAGTCCACTACGCGGCTCCACTGCTGTTTGGCGGATTTCACATATCTTCTAAATATTTTTTTTATTATTTGGAAAATATGCAGGTTTCCTCACGATGTTTTCCTTCACCGCTGAGCACGTTATAATTCAGCACTTAAAATTAACAATTGTATTGGTGCTGGCACCGGTGATCGAACTCAGGATGCTTGACTATATTGAAATAAAGGCGAGCGTCCGGACAATTCACGGCATTTTGAATAAGCTTATAGAATATTGTTAAAGAAATTGTGCTCTCAGACCGTGACACTACTATGACATGTATCAGTGAGGTAACCAGGGCCCATTTTTTTAATGGTTGTCAACGCATCTTCATCAGCAATCAGCTCAGGCGTTGCAAATATCCAGGGGCGGTGGTATTCACTTAATATCAGGTGAACCGCCTGCTCGCTTGAGAACATTTCACAGAAATAAAAAACATCCATATCGTGAAAGCAAATTAAAAACTCTAACAAGTCCATTTTTATTTATGAAAAACAAAACCGACTTCAAATATCTCGCCCTGTATTCATTTTATAATTTATTTTTAGGAGTTCCCTAAGTATCTCTGGAGTCCAAGATCCAATACCAATGAAATAAATATGGGACCACATGGGAAGCACCAGCTTTCAAATAAAAAAAGAATCATCAAAATCGATTCACTCAGTCGAAGGTGTGACGACAAACAAAAAAAATACAGTCGAATTGAGAACCTCCTCTTTTTTTGAAAAGTCGGTCGAAAAAGCAGCTCAGATGTGCTGTGTTTGTTCCATGTAGCACATTACAAATATATCTAAAAGTAAATATCTTCATGCGGTGGTAGGGCCACGCAGCAGCCTCGGCTGTTGCTCGAATGGGCAGGCTCGTCCGGGTAAGTACCACGACCTCACAGAAGACCGGCATAAAATGGGAGCATAATACTTTCGCGTTTCGTCTGATGAGTGAGGTGGCCGGAGTCCAATTTTCAAAAGATTGTCAACGCATCTGGAACTCTCGGGTGTAGCAGATGTCCATGGGGGACGGTATTCACTAAGCATCAGGTGAACCGTCTGCTCACTTGGCAACTTTTCACATAAAAAAAGCTACATTGCGTCTTTACCGAATATTTTCCGGGCACGTAGATCGGTTGCGAGTGCGACGTGGTGAGGTTGTTCAGCGCCAGGGAGCCCGGGCTGGCAGACGGCGGCGTTTGAGGGGTGCCGGGGCCCCCCAGCACGCGCATCCGCGGCGACATCTCGTCCCACTCGTGCCTCCTCAATTCCTCGAGGTGGTCCAGCACATCGCCGTAGTGGGTGGAGAACAAGTCCGCGTAGCGAGACGCGAGACCCTCCAGATATCCCCTGTCACCATCCTGTCGGCAAATAGAATGTATATCACAAAATATTCTCTATTCCAAGAGTGCAACACTAAAAAGGAAGTCAAAAAAGTCCTTTTGATCTTTATTACTGGCTGTTAGATATTTATCAATTTAAACTAGAAAATTATTGATTCAATTGATATGTTCCGAGTACCACTTTCTTCGCATACAACTTTTCGCTTCTTTATTTGTCCACCCAGCCACCTTTATAAAGTCCATGCTTACTTTTACTTTTACTGTTGTTTTTGCTTTTAGTACATAGACTAATAAAGGTTCATAGAATGCAGAACTTGTGGGTTCACCAGAACCCACGATTTTGACACGGCCCGCTTCGTTACCTATGTGGCGAAATGTCAACTATGTTTCGTCGAGATTTGATACTGATCGTGACCCCAATGGCCGTTGGTAATCCAATGGTACTTCCCCGGACGCTTGTAGCCGTTCGTGCAACAGCAGAAGGTGTTAAGTAGCCATACCAGTTGTATATAAGAAATATACATCCATATCAAAATGGATGAGACAATTTATGAATTTAGGAGGCAATGATTCTAAGCAATTGCTGCCATTGTATACCGCCATTGGAATACCAGAATTACATTCATTAGATGTCCATTCATCCTAAAATGTATTATGTATTTGAATTTATCATTTTCTTTCTTGTTCATGTTTGTAAAACATACTTTCAACATGACGACGCATGAAAATGTTTTTAATGACTCCACGAAATATCTACAAACGAGGCAAATTAACGCAGCGGAGAGAGCAAACAGTAATTAAATGGTACCTAAAAACCTATTTGTCTGATGAGTTGCCTCCCTTCCAAGCAATTTCCGTCAAAGCCGAAAAAAAAAAAACAGATATTAAGTAAGGCAATTAAAATCTGCAAGTCTGAATTATAAGGAGATTCAAAATTAGGGATGTTTGGTGGAACGCAATTAGGGTTTTGGGTCTTTTAACAGGCTCACTTTGATTGCAGGGAGGCGGTTAATGGATACAATGTGTTGCCTGCGAACAAAAAGGCAATTTCTGTTTAAAAAAGTTGTATAGCCGATTCACAAGGTCTACCAGTTAATTCAGAATATTTTAGTACATTATGATATTCATTAATTAAGTATTTAGGTTCAAGGAATACTTAAATTTCCACAAAAAAAAAATTAAGAATCTGTTAAGAGTCAGAAAATATGCATAGTTTACAATATTTGCAATTAAGAAGTATTAATAAACCGTTAAGAAATATTCACTAAATATAAACTCCATAAATATAAACTCTAATCGATCTAACTTTTATCAAGAAACTATTATTTTCTATTAATTGTTTTATAGTCTAGAAGAGTAAGCTGTAGATAATAATCGTCGCTAACGAGACGAGTAGTCATGAAACTTCACGATCCCGAGTAAGTCGAGACCGCGTCAAAATTTAATATCCCAATCATCGAGTTCCGCCCGCCAACCGCCAGTGAGTTGGTAGAACAATCCAAATGCACAGAAGTTGACCACCGAGTGATGACACTGTTACAGACGGAACGCATCGCTGCCCCTCCAGGGTTGTGTATTTTTTGAAGATTCCCACCCTCCTGATACAAAAAAGTAAAGATGCACAACCCCAACGTAAACGAACCTTTCGAATACTCGTTAACCAGAGACTTGGTCCGCAGTCAATGTAAACCCAACTGTCCCAACTTCCCGCCAGCTTGGCCTTGCAATTAGGCTTGCGGACTGCTCCATCCGCTGTTCCACTCATTCGCACAGCGTTGTTTTAATATCCCCTTTAGGGCCGAAAAGAATGTAAAATGACGCTGTGCATTCAGTGCATTCATTCCGACGATCGAGAAAAAAATTGAATGATAATTTGACAGGCGGATAGAGGGAAAACAAAAGGGTCTTTATGCGGTAATATCGACGCGAATATTTCATTGATTTCTTTGAACACGACGTTGGTGTCGTTATTCTATATATTATATAAGTTACCCGCTGAGTTTATTTCGCCGGTTCTTCTAAGGTCAGTGGCTTTTCTTTCCGAACCGGTGGTAGCGTTTTGACAATCAATAAGAAAGTGTAATTCTTCAATATTGAATAAAGGTATTTCGGTCAAATCAGAGATGGAATATTTATTCAATGGTGAAGTATTTTAATTAAGAATCGGTATAAACCTTTCGCGATCAGTAAAGTTCCATCAAATCAGAAAAGCATCAGGGGCCGATGGTAAACCGCACTTAGAATTCAACTAGCGGTCGCGCCGACTCAAAGATGGCACGGGGTTTATTTCCATTTTTAAATGAGAGCGCCTGAGAGCTTTGTCGGGCCGGGAGTTTGTGCTCAGCGTTTTAAGTGGATTAAATCGCTCCACGCTCGTAAAAGCGACAAGTGCCCGCGCAAAGAATTAAAGTAACCGTTCGACTTTTGCATGAGAGAGTGCTGGCGGGGGGCCTCGCGCGACTCGCAATTCTACGCGGCGGCCGCGCTGTTTATTCTTTTTCCGTGAACGTCGCCCGATTCACGTCTTACTCTGCCCGCCTTTGTGAATACTCAATGAAAGAAATTCATTAGCGCTATCCCTCAATGGAGCGCTTTCGGTGATGAATTTTTTGTCCCCTTCCCCCCCCCCCCCCTCCGAAAAGGCGCAAGTTGAAACCAGCGTAGCTTAGGAACGATTGTAAAATGCTCAATGAATGGAGTCAGCGTTTAGTGGGGCCACGGGTACGCGTTGTCATTGAAAATTTTCGGCCAGCCGAAAGGCTGTCGGTGCCAAGTATAAATCTATTAGTTACGTGTACATGTTACATCCTTAATTAATATCCTTACAGTTTCTTAACGTTAGTTCCGTTCTGGTCTTTGATACTACAGTTTAAATTTGATATGTTTATTCTCATTCAAGTTTGAACATCTTAAAGCAAAATGCAAGAGGTTTGCTAGAGATAAAAGATTTCCTTAAAAGTCGAAACAACAACAATAAAAGAAAGCAATAAATAGCCTATGATGGTCAACAAAAGGCTTCGTAACAGCTCTTGAATTCAAATGGCGTGTTCAGTCTAAAGAGCCCCGTTTAGAGCATAGAAACGAGTTCATCGGATGGTCTGCCAATGACACTATCGTTGTAGACGAAGAATAAAAACCAGGGACTTCGGTAATAAACATAAAATCCCAGTTTTGACATTCTTTATAGCCTATATTATATTGATTTATATCCGAAATAAAATTTTTAGATAATATTAATAGAATGTTTTTGAAAAAAAAATCATCAATTACATTTGCTTGGAATACACACAATTATTTTTCACAAATCCGAAATTCGACCAGTTCTCGTATAGCCTTTTTAAACGACGTGAAATTTACATGCATATAGTATAAAAATTTAATGTACTTCACAAAGGCTGTGACGTTTTGTATTTTGTATTTGGATCGGGTTTGGCTTCTTAAATTTATCTCTCATCGCGTCTTTCCTTTAAAAATTGAGATTAAAAAATATTGGTTCAGATAAAAAAACATAGCTCGCCCACACTCATGGTCACCAAGGTATTATATAAATGCATATAGCACTAAATAGTTACAAATTTTCAATAATTCAATCAGAAGAAAAGGAAGAGGCAGAAAAAGACAAAAGTATTTAAAACAACAAACATTGAAGTACACCGGAAATTGAACCAAACATTTCCCCTCTGTAGCAGTAGTTACTTGATTCGTACTAATTATTTTGTCCGTAATCATGTGCGGTTTTATTTTCTCATGTGTAGAAACTATTCTTAGTTCAACTTTGTGTGAGAGAAAACAATTTTCATCAGTCCTCGGAAAAGATCGCAGTCGTTGGAGCAATCGATTCCGGAACAAGCCCCCAACCGAAACGTCTACGCCATCGAACTTTACCTACTTTAAAATGAGTATAAATTGCGAAACTTGGGAATTATTTGCGTCTCTCCTCCATGGCAATTTACTCCGTTTTTCCAGAGTTTCATTATAACAAGTTTAATTGAAGACCGCGTCCGGTACATAAATTTAAACTTTTGGCATGCATTTTAATCCGCTTACAGTAGTTAGTCGTTCGCTGTAATGGCCACTAAATGAGTTTCGTAGTTCAACTAAAGCGTTTCTGTTATTATTGAATTATCACATGAAAGCAACGATTGCAAGAATTTACGTTTAGGATTCATCAGTTCAATAAGTTAAAAGTTTTTTTTTTAGTGGACATTAAATTTTCATTTGAACGAAAAGTCCGTAGTCGGTCTAGATGAAAACGTTTTAAAATGAAGACCGTTTTCGCGTTACATTCAAAAGCAACATTTCGATGAATATTAACGTCTCGCAAATGGTGGCGTTAAAGTAAAGAAATGTTAGCTTTCGGAATATTCACATCGTGGGGACTAAGTCGTGTCGTGTCGGGAACAATTTAAATGTTAATGCGAAATTATAAGCGCGACCTTGTAGCAGAGTGTTGGTGGAAAGGCGACGGAGACAAAATGAAATGTCGCCCTCGCGGCTTGATTAATGCACAAAATGAATATCATAAGCAGAAAAGGCAAGCATTATCAGCAATCCGATGTCGTTTAAAGGACGTCAACCGAGATTTAATGTAAATTGTTTCTGGTTAAGATGTGTTGGTCTTATATTTACTTTAGTTGATATTATTTGCATTTTTTTTTATGTTAACCTTTTCGTGTCGTTTGCATATGCTTGAAAATTTTATTCAAACACTTTTTAATATTACAATAATTTATGAATACTGTAATCTTATCCTTTAAACGAGCAATTATTGTTTAGTACTTGCGTAGATTCGGGGGCGAAAAATCGATCTAGCTAGGTTTCATTTTTAGAAAATGTCCTTTTATCCCTGTTTTCAGGGAATGAAAAATATCATTCTAATAAGACGGTAAATTTTGCCGCAAAAAAAAATGTTATAATAGCTCGGTCGGTAATCGTGCGGCCCTAAAACAGACGGCCGCGGTTCGTATCACGGTCATTTACACATTTATTTTACTTTTTTTTTTCTATACCAGATCATCTTCTTTATTTTTTTATTTCCAAAATACATGATTTACCAGAAAAAAACCGAGCAAAGCTGGGTCCTCCAGGTTACTTTAATTTAACTAAGGTGTAACATTTCTAGAAATATTGTGCTACTAATGTGTGTTGTTTTCCTTAACAAAATAAGATAACATTACATTTCTTTAATTTAAATCACCCTTTTCTCGTGATTTCGTCTTCATGGACTAAAGGAATTAATAGGAAAACATGCATTTCTTTTATTCTTCTAAAATATATTCGGGTATTCAGAACCCTGATATTTATTTTAAATTTATTTTGAATGTAATTTATTTGTTAATTATTGGTTACTAGATGGAATCTTCGATGATAAACGCACCAACTCGGTAATAGCGTATTCAACTGGCGTTGTATCTGTGCAATATGCAGCGGAGCCGAAATAAAAACGTGTTCAATACATTTATTGTAGGAAAAGAAAAATAAAGCGGGCATATAACATACTCGACGAACAGAAATGGGGAAGCGATAAACGAAAACGAACGATAATTGTCCGAGCGTTTCTTTTCATGAGTCACAAAATACCCCAAGTGGCCGGCGATCTCATTATAGATCTAGTTAACTCAAATTCAAACGATCGTTTCTTCAAGCATTTAGTCGGAAATAGTTACAGTCTTCCCGATTTCCCGGAGATATTTCAAAGAACTTTTTTTTTGCTTCGGTGAGCGTCGACATTTCACTTACTATTAGAATTTCCCATTGTATTTACAATACTAATAATTTAACGTATTAAAAGTTATCAAGTTTACCGATTATCTGAATATTCGACAATATGTGTCGCATGTGCGCATAAAGTAAAAGTAAAGTAACAGCCTGTATATGTCCCACTGTTGGGCAAAACCCTCCCCTGTATTTGTGTATTCGGGCATAATCCACCACGCAGCCCCACCGTGGAGTGGCAGACTTCATATACCTTCGAAATATTTATTTTTTAGTATTATATAGAAAATACGTCACTTTCCTCGCGATGTTTTCCTTCACTGTTGAGCACGTGATAAGTCAGCACTTAATGGGCACCGGAATTCAACAAGAAACAAGTTGCTCGAGCACATTGAATTAAAAGCCAGTGCCCAGACACTGAGCTATCATGGCCCTCGGCTCGTAAAACGTACTCAATGTTAAGACTCGAAAACGAAGCTGTTTTTTTTTTACGAAATTTTAGTAATTAGGCATATGAGTCACTTTCATAATGAGGGAGTACTGTAATCATTATAATAGAGTCCTACGGAATGCATAAGATGAAAAGGCGTGAAAAGGCGAGTTAGGGTTCCGTGCCCAAAGGGTAATACGGGGCACCATTACTAAACTCCGCTGTCTGTTTGTCAACAGGTCGTATCTCATGAGCCGTGATAGAGAGACAGTTGAAATTTTCACAGATGATGCATTTCTGTAGTCGCTATAAAAATAACATTTTTGCACACTTGACAATATCTATTGCAATATGATACTCACGTAGGCTATAATAAGACTAATATACCTGTACCATTATATTATAAAGTGATCTTTTTAAAAAAGAACAACTGTTCACTTTCTTGCCGGTTTCTTCTCAGCAGAAACTGCTTTCCGAACCGGTGGTAACTTACGAACTTAATACGATCGTATTTACTTAATTAAATTTCGACGTTTCATAAGAACCTGCAAGAGTATATGTGAATAAGATAAGTATTTTGAATGTTAATTTGAAATAGAAATAACACATCTCTTAATTAA